TAAAGGTAAAGGGCCCCTGTATGGTTAAGTCCAGTCAAAGGTGACTATGGGGTGTGGCGCTCATCTTGCTTCAGGCCGAGGGAGTCAGCGTTTGTCCACAGACAGCTTTCCGGGTCGTGTGGCCAGCATGACTAAACCACTTCTGGCGCAATGGAACACCATGACAGAAGCCAGAGCGCAAGGAAACGTCATTTACCTTCCCTCCGCAGTGGTACCTATTTATCTGCTTGCACTGGTGTGCTTTTGAACTGCTAGGTTGGCAGAAGCTGCAACAAAGCAATGGGATCTCACCCCGTCATGTGAATTTGAACTGCCAACCTTCCAATCAGCAGGTCCAAGAGGCTCAGTGGTTTAGACCCCAGTGCCACTTGCATCCCCTCAAGGATGAATAAAGTGTTAATGAACATGTATGCACCCCAAGAGCCCTCTTAAAAGTCCATGAGAAAACAGTGGGATAATGATCTGCAAAAACAACCCAGCTTAAGCAACACTTAAGCAACACTATGGAATGCTGATCCTGGCATTGAAGGTATTTGGTGAAGGAAAAAATTAATGTGCATATTTGCTTGTTTTCAGCTTTTAGTTTGATTTTGTGATGAATTTCTGCTGCTTTATTCTCCACATGGTTTATGTACACTGCTTAGAAATGCTAATGATTAAGTGTTATATAAATGCCTTAAATAAATAATCAAAATGTTCATTTAATCCATCTGCTTTACATTGCTTGTTTAGAGGGTTGTTCAACAACATGGACTTGGCAGAAGAGCAGCTTGGCCCTTTGGTAGAAGCTCAAGTTCAGCAGGCAAGGGCAGAAACCAATCAACAGAAGGATACTAAGTTTGAGAAATGAATGTAGAAGTGTTGAGAAATCCAAATATTTGTTTAAAAACCAAGGAGGACACGACTCACCCAACCCTTTGGCATTATTCTTAAAAAAATTGGGCAAGATTCTCCTAATGAGCCCCATCAGTGGATGCCTTGCACAAGGACTTCCACTTGGGAAACAGGGCTTTCCCTTCCCCCTCTTTTCTTTCCCAGGCATTCCCCACAACATTGGTTCTGGGGGAGAACACATGGGGGGAGCAGAGAGATAGGATCATTCTACCTGGCAAGCAGAGATGTTTGTGCAGATGGAAAGACTGGAAGAACACAACATTGAACTCCATCCAACATGTTCTTTTGTAACAACATTCTTTGAGTAACTTGAGTGGTAACAGCTGTGACAGAAAGGTGGAGGTCATGCATGATGCATCTGTAGAGGCAGCCCGCCCCTAGGAAGGGTGGGGAACCTCAGGCTTAGGGGCCAAATAGTCCTCCAGGCCTCTCTAGCTCGTCCTCCTCTAAGCCCCCCTTGAGTGCTTTTGGTCTAACTGGGATGTGCTTTTGAACCATTTGCCTCTTGCTTGCCCAGCTGTAGAGACCTCTGACTTGCAGGCCCAGAATTTAGCCTACCCTACAAAGGCAAGAGCTCCATCTATTGTTCTGCCCACTTTTGCCTCTGGGAGGAATTCAACATAGTACTCAGGAGACTGTCTAGTCAGCACAAGCATTTCAGCTTGCCAGACAAAATGATCTCCCCTCCCCCCGCCCCACATGCTCTTCTGGGGTTTTCCCCCTGACACCCACCCACCAGCCAACTGGAGAGGGGCATGAGAGGAAGGGACAAAAATCCCCATTGCACCAGCAGAAGACCTTGAAGACCTCTGGTTCCACCCACCATAAACATGCAACTCCTATAAGGGAATGTGACCTGTGGTCTCAGAATGTTTCTCCACTCCTGTCCTAGATTGAGGGATGTGTGTGAAGAGACTGTCCCAAAAGCCAAAGAGAATTCTGGAAGCTGGAGAGAGGCATGTAGGGGGGTGGGAAAGAGACAGAGAGGAGGGAGGAATTATTCCGAGAATGGGTGTGTGACAAGGGTTAGAGAGGCCTTATGTTTTGCAATCCAGGGTTGACAAAACACTCCTCTTGAGTGGACCACTGTCATCTCTAAGGAGTGATCTGCTTGGCTGAGCCACTGCAATAGCCTGCAAAGTGATACCACACAGCCAACATGTACTGCCAATAACTTATTCCCTTCAAAGGCTGTGGCATATTTACTCACATTGGCCTTAATCATCAATGCGCTCTGCCTGTCGATCTGCAAAATAGGAAAGCCTTTGAGGATCAGGGTAGATTGTCAATAAAGCTCCTGTCCCTTCTTCCCACTACAGAAGACACTGCAACAGTGTTCCCTCAGCAGAAACCTTACAAGGCTACAGAAGTAACATCTGGATTCCACTGGTGAATTCCCCTGCCACCAACTACATCTTGGAAAGGGGTAAGTTGAAACCGGTGGCACATGTCACAATAGCTCCCTCCTTGGCCAAAGCAGTAGCTGGATTTGCTGGGGCTTCCAGGTAATGGCACATACAGCTGTTGTGCATTCTCCTTTCCTTCTCCAGATTATACTACAGATGTGTTGCATCTTCTTTTAGCAAACCTGGTATTTATTCTGGGAAATACTAGCATAGAAGAATTGATTCCCCAAGACTACCTAACCATGACTTAGCCCAGATCTTTGGAGGACAAAGTGTATTATGTGAGCATCTCGGATTCATTTTTTAAACAAAATGAATTTCTAACCCTTGTGGCAGCAGAGAAAAGCTTGAAAAGGTGAATCCAAATGACACAAAAAGGGATTGGTTTAGTGGAAAACCTGGACCGGATTTGTAAGCACTGGACCATAGAGAGAAAAGGACTTTGCCTCCAGCAAGCAGGAGGGAAAAAATGGTCTGGTTTTCTCTTGGTGGGAATGAACAACGATGATAAAAAAAAACTGGAATCATTTAGGTTGGCAAGGGAATTACAGGCAGCCCCAGTCCTGTGCATGTTTACTCAGAAGCAAATCATAGTGAGTTCAATTAGACATACTCCCGAGTAAATGTGCATGGGACTGTAGTCTTAAAGTGGAGATAATAAATGTTTTCAGACATTTTAGTTTTGGAAAGCATGTAAGAGAGATGGGCTGTCTGATCTTTCATTTATTTGTGCTATTGGATGGAACATTTAAAGAAGGATTTTGTGCCTGTGTGTGTGTGACAAGTGCATGTGGGCAGGGTTAAATGGGTTTTACAAACACAAAGAGCTGCCTCAGAAAACCAGATTCAGCTTCCATATGCCACTTCTTTGTAGAGGTTTGCTGAGACTTCTAAAGCAGATAAGCCCTGATTAGAAACACAAGTAAAATGCCTCAAAACAATATTGGTGGAGGGGGAAAAGAGAGATAATGAGTCGCACTATCCAAGACAGGGAGATGGATAGTGGTGTTGATTTTAAAATTTCCCCTATTTTGTCATCTTCTAGTTACAAATAACAATATTTCTTACAACTCATTTATGTGAGATGACGCTTAGCCCTCGGAAACTACCTTGCCCTTTTCACTTCCTTGCTTCTAATTCTGCAGCCCTGCGGAGATACACCTGGGAACATACACAGTGAGACTTCTTTCCACATATATAGGCATAGTGTGGTGGCTTTGTTTTCTAATACAGGGATGGGGAGCCTGTGGCCCTCTAGATGGCGTTGGACTTTCAACTCCTATCAACCCCAGACAGCATGGGCAGTGGTCAGGGATGATGGGAGTTCTATTCCAACAACATCTGGTGAGTCACACCTCTTCTAATGTTGCTGCTCCCACCACCATGACATTTGCTCCAGCCAAAATGACTTGAGGCATTTTCCTGGAGTAAATGGCAAGTAAGACATGCCCAGTCTTACTGAGCATGTGCCTCAGATGCAGACTCACTTCTCAGCATTGCCAGTTTAAGTAGCCCTGGAAGCAGAACTGGGATAGCTACGCAATTGCTACTGGGGGTACCTTTACCTTTTTATGGCAGATACAATAGCTCCTGCCTATCAATTGGACTGCAGCATTATTTCCCCACAAAAATTACTAGTTACGTGTTTCTCAAATCTGTGCTTTATCTTGAGAGAGGCAATTTATAAAAGGGCAGGTAAGACACTCACTTCACACTCAGAGGTTAATAACTTCACCTTTCTCAGAGAGCTCCTGGGAGCATCTTGTTTGTCACTTGGCATCAACAATGTATACAAAATGGCACTGAATATGCCAGGGATTGAACTCTGGGACTCTCTGCATGCTGTGAGATACATAGCACCTTCCCATTTCTGTCCAGAGGACTTAAGGTTTGGGGAGCCAGTGCCCCCACAAGCATTGTTTAATGCGAGTTTCAGTAAACCCCAGTAAGCATGGACAACAGTCCGGAATGACAGGAAATGAAATCCAACAAGATCTAGAGGGACTATCAGGGATGGACTTGCGAAACATGCAAGCAACCACCAAAACTATTATGTATTAAAAAATGGTAAGCTAAGCCACAGGTTTCTGCAGTGGTGATACCTTTGTGCAGAAATTAAGAAGCTGTGAGTCTAGCTTTAGGCCAAACACCTTTGGGTTCATGGAGAGAAGTGTGGAACATGGAATTCTTCCTTTGGTCTGTCAGTGCTCCTGTTCTGCTGACAAGCAGGCACAATATGCACCAACCCTCCACTAGCTGCCATGCAATACTGCAGCACAAAGCAATTCGGAGAGGGTTTTCCTTTGTCCCTGCCTCTCACTCAGAGTCCCACAGCTTGTGAATCGGGAACAGGCCTTTCATTCTCTTGTTACCCACTTGGGTGTTTCAGCCAGGTAAAGGAACAAGCCCAGACCATATTTTGAACCTGCCACCTTCCCCTCCAAGCACATTTGCCTGAGTGTCCTCTAAGTCTAGCCAGGGTAAACCCAGTTCTTATGATTTGCTAGAAGTTAGCATTCACCTGGCTGGCTCCAGTCCTAAAGAGAAAGTCCGTCTCTCTCTTTTCCCCGTCCCCCCTTTAAATCCTGAAAGTCCAGTGTCATGGTGCCAGCCCACTCTGGCTCTCCCGCTTCACACCTGACCTGAGCCACGGTCCCTTCCCTCTCCCCTCCTTCCCCCGCTCACTTCCCGCTTCCATACCTCTCCAGTGCCGCGTTTTTGGCCTGGCTGGGCTTATCCCTCCTCATCCCTGCAGCGGACCTTCCCTCCGCTCCCCCATCTCTTTGCCCTGTTCTCCGGGCTTCCTCCCCTCCCCGCCGCGCCATTCCCGGCCGGATCTCCTCAAGATCTCTCCTTCTCCTCTGAATCCCCCCTCCTCGGTTCCGCTCCAGATTTTCCTCCCTGTGCGGATGCGTGCGTGTGCACCTCCCCTCGGCCTCCCAGGTGTATCCGTCCCTTCTGGAACCCGCTCCGCTTTTCCGTTCCTGCCTTCCCCAGCTCGGAGTGAAACTGGCTGGCCCCGCCGCCGCGTGCGCAAAGTAGCAAGCTTCTCCCGCCACCCCCGGGGCATTCTCGCTGGAGGCTCCTGGCTCTGAGGCCCAGCATCTAGCCGAGGGCGCCGGACTAAGGAAGGGGGCTCGCCGCCGCCGCGGAGCGCCTCTGCGCGCCTTCACCTTCCTTTGGCCAGCGAGTCTGCCGGGAGGGGGCGCCCCAGCCAGAGGAGAGCGAACGGTTCCTTTGGCGAAGGGGAATCCGGCGGCAGGCGAGGCAGCCGAAGCCCTCACGCCGCCGAGAGGCACCGGGGGCCGCTGGGACGCTCGAGGGCGCAAGGCGAGGCCCGGCGGCCCGACCTCCTGAGGAGCACCGAGCCCCCCCCCTCACCGCCCGGGGTTGGCGGGGAGCGCGCGTGTGCCTGTTTGTGTGCACCGAGGCGGGGGAAGCGCAGGAGAGGAGAGGAGCGACGAGCAGGCAGACGGAGCCCCCACCCCGCCGCCGCCGCCAGCGCGCGCGCGCGCCTGTGTGTGTGTGTGTGTGTGAGAGAGAGAGAGAGATCGGGGGTGGGGGTGGCTCTCGCTTCGCTTGCCTCCACCGTCTCCAAAATGCCCGGACTGCTTTCCACGGATGGATATATTTTAAGACTTCCTTTCGCATTGCTAGGCGAGGCGGTTCGCCGGCTGGAGGCGTCCGCCAGTGACATCTCATCGGGGGAAGGAGGGCTTTGATTTGGCCCCTTCTCTGCCTGCCTCCCTCCTCCTCCTCCTCCCCCCTCCCTTCTGCTATTTTGGGAGGGGGCGGCTGCAAACAAAAAAAAATTAAACCCCACCAAAAAAAAAAAAGCCAACAAAAAGGGACGGCGCTTGATTTATAACAGAACGCCCCATCTCTCTCCCTTGTCCCTGCTCTTTAACTCGCCGTCCCTCCAGGGGCAAAACAATCCGAGATCAGGACGCGTCGTGGTTTTTGTGTGTGTGTATGTGTGAGTGTGGGGTGTGTGTGTGCGCGCCCCCCTTTCCACGTTTCTCTGAAATCGACGCCCCAAGGGGGAGCAATCGGAAGAAGATCGAGATCGCGCATCACGCATCCGATCGCCTCGTGTTTCCGAATACCTGAGGGGGCTCAAGCCCTGCCGTCCTGGCGGCGGGATGGATTAGGGATCCCTGAATGGAGGAACCCGACGGGGCTGGATCGCAGAAGGTAAAGACGAGGCTTGTCTTCTCAGGGGATTGCGCGTGGGGTTGGCGTGCTGGTGGCTGGGGGGGGGGGGACTGGGCTGGCGAGCCTTGCCTATCTCCACCCCCACCCCCCGGTTTCTCATCGATGACCCTTGCTGGCTTCGGACACCTGGCTAAATCGGACTGGTGGCGAGGCTTTATTTGAGAGGCGGGAGGTGCCGGTGGCTTTGGCACAGGTTTCATTTTAAATTGGGGTGGTGGTGGTGTGTGAGAGGAAGTAGGAGGTGCAATCTTTTTTTATTATTTGTTTGGAAACCTGAGCTGTCCTCGCCTTGAGATCTGCCCGCTCCCCGGTGGTTTGGGTCTATGTTGGTGGACCTGATGTTTGGTTAGCGTTTCTCACAGACAGGCTTTCTTTGCGCTACAGAGACTTGGACGGGGGAGGGGGGGTGATGGTGACTGGACTACGAGGCTGGGAGGAAGGGACCATTTCCTCCTCTTCTCCTCTCTCTCTCCCCCTCCGCATTTTCTCCTGAGATTTTGTGATCGGACAGGCTCTGCAAATGCGGAGGTCCTTTTTCCGCCCACGGATGAGACGGCCGCTTGTCCTCCGCTGGGTCTGCGTATTGCTCAAGACAAAGCCATCTGCAAAAATAAAATTAAAAAAAAAACACCCCTTCCCTTCCCCTCGTCGCGGTTACTGCGGTATTCCTCCCCCGCCACACACACACACAACAGCACGCCTTTTGTATATATGTGGCGGGGGTGGAGTTGGGGGGGTTGAGAAAAAGAGCCATTACCCTCCAAATACCGTAATGCACAAAGAGGAGGGAAGGGCTTTTTCTCCAGATCTTGTCTCTGTTCTTATCCTTGCCTCCCCACCCCTCCACTCCGGTCAATTTTGCTGCAGGGGGGGGGGGGAGCCGGAACCAGGACAGGTTCGTGGTAGTAGCTGCCCCTTTGCCGTCCCCTGTAATGTTTTTTCCCTCCTCCAAATTTCCCTGATACGTGTCTTTATGTAACAGACACGCTTTATAGGAGGCGGAGGAGGAGGTGGCGGACACACATACACACACGTGCGCGCGCGCGCATATCCTTTTTCCCACGTACAGTTTCAAGATGGGAGGAGGATGCAGGCGGAATGGTTAATCAGGCAGGGGGGGGCGCATTGGCTTGCTGCGATGGCTCTTGGGCTTTGCCATCCACCCCCCTCGATGCCCACCCCGCCCCCGCAGCCGACGAGCATCTCGCTCTGGGGGCGGGCTGATGTGCCCCTTACTTCACCTCAGGCCAGGCCCTTCTGGAAGCAGCCCACCTTCGGGGCGGCTGGTGGGTCCCCTGAGCTGGGAATTTGTCTGGGAGTCCGATTCTGTGGCACCGGGGGCCCTGATCTCATTCTGCTCCCTCTAGTCAGGATGTTCTCTGAATCAATGGGCACCTTGTATAATGTCTCCCCGATTCCCACTGACCCATGTGAAGGAAAGAGCCGGCAAAGAATTCAGGGAGGGAGATAATCGAGAAGAAATGTACCTGATATTCTTAAATTACTGCATCCACAATCATATAACCATCCCACCCCCCGCCCCCTCAACCATTCTCCACGAGTGTTGGCTATTCACATCTTTCCCTGCCAATAGCTTTCTGGTCTAAGGCTGCCTCCTATTTCAGAAGGACAGGAGATTCTTTTAAACTAGCATTATTTCCCAAAACCAGTATGGTGGAAAAAGCAGAATGGTTAGATTGATGATTGCTGCAAACCCAGTTAGATTTCAAATTCTTCCGAAGGGGTGGAAGGTGGAGGGAGGTGAGCAGGTCCAGCCTTATTATGATAGGATGCTGGGAGCTCTTCCCTCAGTTGGGAAATAAACAGGCTGGGGAAAGATTTATTTATTTATTTATTTACCATTGGGAAATAAGATGGATCGAGAAGGGGCTCTCTCTCTGTGTGTGTGTAGACACAGAACAATTAGCAAAAGGCGAGTGAGAAGAGATTGACAGATACAGACGTGGAAAGGGGGGGATGGGGGGAAGAGATGAAAGATGAACAGATGGATGGATGAAGGGGGAATGGATGATCAGATAAAGAACCTGTTAGTAATCGCTCCATCCTCCTCTCTTTTCTGCCTCTCCCCAAATTTATTGTCCATAAGCCCTCCCTCCCGGACCAATTTCCTGTGGTTGCTTTCTGCTTTCAGCAGTGATTGAATGGTATATCCCCCCCCCCCCCCGTGAATGTCTCTTCACAGTGCTGTCTCTCTTGGCAAAGGTGAGTCAAACGAGGAGCTGTAAAACATCTTGGGGGATAGCAGAATATGAGGGTTGTGTTGAAAGGAAGGAATTTCCACCAGGAGACAGAAGTTGGCCTGGCTTGATGAAACCCTCTCATTTTGGCACTTGGAGAGGAAGAAAGGCAAGGCTGTTCAGCACACTGCTAAAGGTTTTAATTCTGCTCTGATTTTCCAACCCCCCCTTTTTTTTTTTGCCTGGGGAAGAGCCATAGTTCAGTGGTAGAGCATCTGCCTTGCATCCAGAAGGCCTCTGGTTCAGTCTGTGGCATTTCCAGGTAGGAGAAATCCCAGAGAACTCCTGCCAGCCAGTGTAGACAGTACTGAGCAGGATGAACCCCCCCTACCCAATGGTCTGACTCGGTCCTCCGTTTCCAGTCTTGCTCCTCATCTTAAATCATCTCTTCACAAAACAAGGAAATCATTGCTTGGACCGATAGAGGCTACTTGCACGTCTCCACCTGCAAGTCTCCCGTTTGAGAGTGTCTCACAACATATTGTATATCAAATATCCATGCAGTTGAACCCCTGAGAATATTGGTAAAGAGAGGCACCAGTTCACTGCTGTTTGAGCATTCCTAGGGTAGTTAGAGGCAATGCAGTTCAGGAGATGCTTTAGAAGCTTTCAGAACATTTGTGTAGCAAAACAACAAACAAACAAACAAACAAACAAACAAAAAACCCAGGGGAAAACAAAGAAAGACAAACACCCCTTCTAAAACCCTTCTGGAACAAGAATGATCGTGGGCTAGGCTTCACTGGTTGGATGACATCTGTCTGTCTCGAAAGACATATTGAGAAAAATTGTGGAATGTTCGTTTGGGTTTGGGAGATTTGGAATCCAAAAACACCTGGGCTCCTTTTGAATTTCTTAACAGGCAGGCTGTTGCTATTGCCAATCTTTAATTGCAAACATCAGATGCGCTGGGGTTTAAGTGTACCTGGGAGTTGTGACTCCTAACCTGGAAGTTCTTCCCTCTAGTGTGATTTGATTGGCTGTATGGAGTCCCTGTGGGGTGAGGGAAAGTTACTACATTTATCATAAGATCCAGAGGTTCACCCTGTATAATTGAAAACTGGTTAAACCCTGAGCTCTATGATATCGTATGTGGGGTGGGGGGTGGGGCATGTTTTTGGAACAAAGGGAAGTATTTTGCAAGTGTTGCTCAGAAAGTCCCAAACACTGAGTGAGCATCAAGAGGAAAACTATATTAATGGGTACCACTCATTGCAGGTTCAGAGGCAGCATGCTCTGAAAACTAGGAGCTGGAGTGTCCTCATTGCGGTTATTATGGGACACAGGAAGCTGGAGTAGATGGGCCTTTGGTCTGATGCAGCAGGGCTCTCTTCTTGTGGGAATGAGACCTTCATTCTAGGTGCCCCCCAAATACTAACAGGGTTTGCTTTTTTACCTCCCCCTTTGGATGTTAGGCTGCTGAGCTGCTTTTCTTTACCCATGTCTTGCTTGCATTGGCCTTACGTATTTAAGAAAGTGATGGGACAGAGAGGTAGGATCATATTATTTTTGTTATTTAATTTCTAACTGCGCTTTGCCACAGGGCAAATTACAATATGAAAACACAAAAATACACATCATAGTAATACAAACATGCATACCATAATAACAAACAAAACAACACCCCACCCCCCAATTTAAAAGGGCATAATTGTTTAATTAGCCAAAGGCCTAGGAGAAGAGGAAGAGATTTGTAATGAAAGGGCCAGGCAAGCCTCCCTAGGGAGAAGATTCCACACTGCAGAAAAAGCTCTTTCTCATGGTACCACCTTCTGGGCCTCTCATGGAGGGGTACACAAAGAAGGGCCTCAGATGATGATCACAGGGTCCAGGTTGGCTCATATGGGGAGGGGTGGTCCTTGAGGTATTGCGGTCCTGAGCTGATGACTTGTCCTATATACCTGGAGACCTTCTGGGGCAGGAATGCCAATCTGAATTGGGATGGGTAGTTCCAGCCATGAATTCCATGCCATGGGCCTGTAAGGCTCTACAGTGCCGGCCGTTATTCATGTTCAGTGACTCCGATAAGCTAGAGGGGCAAAATTTTAGGTTGGGCCTCATTATGTCAGAAAATATCTGTAATTGATATAAAATTGGTCATATTTCCTTTCCTTCTTTCCCCCTCTACTCAGGATGTATATTCCTTGAGATCAAAGATGGTCTCTTGCTGTGATAATATGGCACCAATTGGAAAGATAATCTAGGTGCAACTGAAATTCAAGTAATAATCCTAGCCCTTTTCATATCTGCAAACTCATTGAAAGCAGCCGATAAACATCCTAGTATGATGAGAGGAAGGGAGATTGTTTATACCTTTACAGTGTTTTTGGGAGCACATCCCTGGTTTTTGGAAGCCCCATGTATTTATCAGATGCCTACAAAGCACATAGTACATTTTACCCACCAGAAATCTAATGGAGGAAGATGAGTGAATCTCTTTTGTCCTGTAATATGCACAAGCATATGCCCACCCTCCTTACAAACCACATTTGCCGTGGCTTAATTGTACCCCAAGTACTGCAGCTACTTTTGAAGGTGCTTTGCTGGGCATAGGCCCCATTCTGTCAAATGAGTCCAGGGAGCTGTGTGTAAAGGGCCCTAAATGCAGGATTCTGTTGTTTGCATGGAGGATGGGGATATATGGGCCCATATTATAAATTTTCAAATTCAGCTAGGATGTATCCTGCATCTAGTGTATAATATGTGCTATGTGCTTTGGAG